GGGAAAGAGAGAGTGGGAAAGACGAAGCTCAAGAAGAAAGATACAGTTACAATGGCGCCCGCCCAAAAATTACGGTTATTTGCAAGATTAAGGGCGCCGACTAATCAGAGCTTCGTCGCAGCCGCAAAAAGAAGCGCGCAAGAAAGACAACGCGCGACAAAAGAAATCCCGAATTCCTAAATTCCTAAATTCCTAAATTCCTAAATTCCTAGGTAATGCAAAAAGAAGCACAAGTTCCGAAAAGAAAATCCGAAGTTCCGAGAGCCATCAAGGCTCGACAAGATTCGAAAAAGAAATTCAAAAAGAACGAAGCAAACTTCCCGCGCGATCTCGGTGCCTAAAACCCGACAACGGAACAAGAAAGAAGCGACGTCAAGCATTATTATTCGCGCGTTTGTCGGCGCGACAGCCACTCAATCGGCCATCTCAGGACTTGCCCGGCCCTGATCCCAGCCATCCGGAAAGAAACGACGCAAAACGACAAAGAAGCAAGGACACCGATGCAATTTCCCTTTGATCCCGATCTCCCGTGATTGGCCCAACCTTCCCATCTTAGGACCCCTCATTGTCATCGCGCAGAAGATCGGGCGGAACAGAAATTGGTTCGTCTTAATGCAGCTCTTACACAGGAATGTGATGACAGATTGGCAGAGGAAGGTGAGTAAGACAAGGAGACATGGTGCCAAACTGGACAGATGGCGAAGATTATAGGGGACATAATAGAACCGGATCAGTTTTTCTTTAGGGACAAGTGAATAACAAGAGAGATATCTTGAGCACTTGGATATGGGATCGCCTGGTGGGTCGCAGGAGACAGCCTGAGGCAGAGGGAGGTGGAAGGAGGAGTGAGTGTCACACTTCATGACCACCCTGTTAGGTGGTAGACAAAGATAGGAATGGTATAGGGGTACAAGCTGTAGAACACGGACATAGAAGCAGAAAGAGGTACACTAGTAGGTGGTCTTTTCAGGTTCATGGGGTGCTGCAGGCCTTGTGGCTGTTTGTTCGTTAGGATATGAGCATGTTGCTGGTTGTTTGGCTTTTTTTGGGCCTTGGAGGCTCTTGTTTTTGTGTCCTCAGAGAGGGACTGCAGGACAGAGGTCATAAGTTCCCAATTTTAAGAGAATTCCCGCTAAGATAACAGATCCAGGGACCGTATGTGTTCCTAGTCTTAATCCGTTTCCTCTGAAGTGTAAGCTAAGCTGGCTGATGCTTCAGTATGGTTCTCTTGGTGGAATTGTGGGGATCCCGTGCCCTGTTTTTGAAACTGTGCAACATAAAGAGACTATGGTTAAAAAAAATAAAATAAAATAAAAATAAAAGGGGGGCAGGCCTCCCCACATAAAGACCGGTACTGGGAGCCTTACCCAGTTTCTGGGAGGCTTACCCAGTTTCTCTTTTTACGGGACCAGAGGACCTGATGTCACAAAGAAAAATAACAACTTTCAGAAAAGGAAGACAGTGAGCAGCCAACCAAGACACACTCTATCAAGAACAAGATCAAAAGTAAGGGGTCGGGTCATTTGTTTAGTAGGAGCCCCGCAATGGGAATGGGACAAGTGCAGCTCCAAAGGGATACTGGGTGCTCCAGAGTGGAGCACAATAATGACCACAGCCTCAACATTGATCTGTATTGATGTATCAAAGGGAGGCTGGACCCGGTTTCCAGCAGGTGTTGCTCCCCACCAATAGATGGAGCAGCCCAGCGGCCAAGGCCTCAATTCCGGTGGTTCTCTTACCAATGCCCGGATAGTGGCCTTACAAAAGGGCTTTTACAAACAAAC